CAAGGTTTACATAAAAACACAGTTGGTTATGTCTAAAATAAAAGTAAACAGTTGGGAGAGAAATGCGTGCAGCTCTTAAAGGGGCAGTAGCTACTAAACATGCTGCCGACTGTCATTAAAGGGATAGTTCACCCAATATTATTTATTATTTATATTTATATGTCATTATTTACAAACTCACATTTTGTCCCAAACCTGTATTAATTTATTTTTGTGCTGAACACAAAAGAAGATATTTTGAAGAATGTGAGTAACCAAACAGTAGCTGGTCCACACTGGCTTTTACAGTAGGAAAAAAATACCATGGAAGTCACTGTGGACCAGCAACTGCTTGGTTACCCACATTCTTCAAAAATAACTTTTATGTTCAACAGACGAAATAAACTAATTCAGGTTTAAAACAACTTAAGTAAATGATGGTATAAAAATGAAACACTATTACAGAATTGAAAGACAGATGACATCATTTTCATGTTTGGTGAACTATTCTTTTAATGTTAATAAAACAACAAAACAGAAAAAAATCACTCACTGCTCTTGACTGATGAACTTATCATCAGTCAGTTGCTTTTAAAAAAAGTATAATTGATGTATGTAGTGTATATAGTGTTTTATTTTAATATTTGTTCATTGAATTTTTTGAATGTTACTGCTAAATACTGTACCTGAAAAATAAAGCACTGTTTGTTTTATTTGTATATTATGTGTATTTGTAATGTATATCTTTGTTCTTGTTTTCTAATAACAAAGATAAAATACTAACAAAGATTTTTATCTTTGCTCATTTTGGCGAAAATGTCTGCCAAAAAAGTTAACATACAGCCCTGCCATAGACATTGCCCTACCCTGCTCATATGGTATTACTTTTTTTAAATTAAAAATGCATTTTTGCAGGTCTTAAAAAAGGGTCTTAAAAAGTCTTACATTTGATTTTAAAAATCCTACAGACAGATGTAGCTTTGCACACTGCCAGTATCTAGAATGATTTTGATCAGAATTTTAGTGTTCATAGCAGGGACATAGCATTTTGTTGGAGAAAGCCTGAAACCACAGAGCCCCCAACAAATCCAAATTTAACCCCTGTACACACACACACACACACACATTTACTTAGCTATGTAAATGGGGACATTTCAAAAACTTTCAACCTCTGTAGCACCAGTGCTATGTGAAAAAAAAGTTAACATACAGCCCTGCCATAGACATTGCCCTACCCTGCTCATATGGTATTACTTTTTTTAAATTAAAAATGCATTTTTGCAGGTCTTAAAAAGTCTTACATTTGATTTTAAAAATCCTACAGACAGATGTAGCTTTGCACACTGCCAGTATCTAGAATGATTTTGATCAGAATTTTAGTGTTCATAGCAGGGACATAGCATTTTGTTGGAGAAAGCCTGAAACCACAGAGCCCCCAACAAATCCAAATTTAACCCCTGTACACACACACACACACATGTTTACTTAGCTATGTAAATGGGGACATTTCATAGGCGTAATGGTTTTTATACTGTATAAACTGTATATTCTATCGCCCTACACCAACCCTACACCTAAACCTACCCCTTACAGGAAACTTTCTGCATTTTTACAAATTAAAAAAAACCTTTGTTTACTTTATTTTTATACCAGTTTTACAGATGCGGACGTCCCCATAGGGAGTTTTTTTGGAGATTTTGGTTTAGCTCACTTTTGGGTACAAATTTGTCCCCAAAATATGGTTAGTAATGTGCATAAAGTCTTTATAAGACAGAGATCATAAGGGCCCTTTGCGCCCAGTGCTATTTGTGTCGCCAAGAGGATTTTGCATTGATGGCAAAATTACTTCATAACTGCCGTTTAGCATGCTTTCTGCTTTGTTGGTCAGTGAGCTTTGAGTTGGATTCGTCTTCAAGTTATGTCATATTTGTAATTTGATGGTGATAAAACAGACCATAATGGCATAATAGCAACATTTTAGCCAGTCAGGGTGCGAATTATGGGGAGTTAGTCAAAATCAGGTTGATGGGGTCTTCAAAAATACTTTAATATTTATATACACGTTACTATGTACGTTTTTGTTTGGATAACCACGAAGTTTCACAGATGCTATGCTTGTTAAATTATATCACGCTCTCTGCCAGAATATTTTTGTGAGTTTGCCTGTCTGTGCTCTCTCTCTGACCCTCCCTTTCTCCCCCCTTGTGCTTTTCCCTCTTACCTTCTGTGTTCTCTCTCTCTACTCTCGGTAGTCTTACCTCTCTCCATCTCAATGTATAGGCCTACACGCATGCGCACATATGTGTATTACTTCTTGGGGTTCAAATGGTGAAAGATGGTGGGGGCTTGTCCGACCCAGGTTATTGAGTTGGGTCTGTCCTTTGGCTCAGAGTTGAGGTATCCATTTTCCAGATGTGCTCCTAATATGGCCAGAACTTCCTGCCCATGTTCCCATTTTGTATAAAGTATATGTATTCTACATCCTATGGGCTCTAGAGGTATCAGGAAGGAAACCCCTTTGTTTGCTAGACATTCCTAAATGCAGTGTTGGGAAGGTTACTTTGGAAATGTAATAGGTTACAGATTACAAGTTACCCTACTTAAAATGTAATAAGTAGTGTAACTTTTCAATTACTTTATTAAAGTAATGTAACTGATTACATTTGATTACTTTTTTATTACTTTTCTAAATTTCTAATGTTTTCAACTGTTAATCATTTTCAAACATGTAAACCAGGCAGGGTTAAACTTACAATATGTGCTCAACACTGATAACTGTCAGACTTTCGAAATCCTTCATCACTTGAATTAAGATTATAATATTTCATTTTAAAGGAGACATTGGATGCAAAATATCTTAATTTGCGTATAAATGTGTCTTAGCAGTGTGTGGACACAACCACCTTACAATAATACCCCAAAAACCTAAACAGTCTCAATTATAAAGCCATTTTGATTTCGGAGTGAATACCAGCACTCTCTTCCACCTTCAATATCACGATGGAGGTGAGACCCTTGAGCAAGGCACCAAACCCCCAACTTTGTTGGTGTGTGTTTACGGTGTGTGTGTTCACTGCTGTGTGTGTGCACTTGGATGGGTTAAATGCAGAGCACAAATTCTGAGTATGGGACACCATATTTAGCCACGACAATTCAATTCACTTTCACTAAATTTGTTAAGCTGCTTCAGTGTACAACTGTTGGCGCAAGCTACATTAAAATGATTATTACATTTTGAATATGTATATTTTTCTTACAAAAACGCATCGATTCGCTACAGGAGGCCTTTGTTCACCCCCCGGAGCCGTGTGAGACATTTTTTTTATGGATGGGCGCTTTTTATTTAACTTGTTTTGGACTGATGCATGCAACACCCGCTGAGTGGCATTAAACAGCTTGAAAGATCAAAGACCATTTTTAATACAACTCCGATTGGATTCTTCTGAAAGAAGTATATACACCTAGGATGACTTGAGGGTGTGTAATTTATGGGCTAATTTTCATTTTTGGGTGAACTAACCCTTTCAAATCATTCTGAGGTTAAATACATATTTAAAATCATAACAAGAAATAGTTTAATAGCTATGATACTGTTTTTTAAATCAAAGCTTTGCATAGCTATGACAGTAAACGCTGGAATCTAACAATGCCTTAGAAAAAACAGTTATTCTTAAAAAAATAAACCATATACATAAGCATGTTATAAACTTCTGAAACATTGGTGTTGCATATTTTAGAGTAGTCACTGCAACTCAATTAAATCTGTATGTGGGAGTGTGTGTGGAAAAAGTCATATGTAACCCCCTTTGTAATCCTTAACATTAACAAGTAACTGTAATTTAATTACAAATTTTTTCTTAGTAACTGTAACTGATTACAATTACTTTTATTTTGTAATTAAATTACGTAATTCCGTTACATGTAACTAGTTACTCCCCAACACTGCCTATATGATGTAGTGTACAATTCTTGTTGAATGAACCACTGCACCACCGCAATGCAACTATATAACAGGGCTCTCAAGTCTCACGCATTCACCGTGAGACACGCATTTCAAGCAGTTCACAGTTTTTAGTGGGCGACAAAAGACAACTTCGACCTATTAAACATCAAATTACTTACTTAAGGTAAATCCTTAAAAACTATTGAAAGACTTTGACTTTTGTGACGTTTTAAAGCACTAGATATTCTTCATTCAAGCCAGTAGAGACTGGATCTCTCTATACAAAGTGTATTATGATAGAGCTTGGCCTATGTGAAAAGTTAGCCTATTTCTTTGTTGGAAAAAATAGCCTTCTGGTAAGGTGTTATGTGATGTTTGTTGTCATACAGCAAAAATATACAACACTAGACATATTAGGTAGTAAAAGTTCTGTACAGATATAGAGATATATTTATTTTGTCCTTTAGAATGGCAAGTTATTCCTGTCAAATGCTCATTCATTAACATTTCTCACTTATTTGCTTAATTTAGACAGTAGGATTCCACATCTGACTTGCAGAGCATCATGCAGCATCACAATGTGACTCACACTCCTCATTCACAGCATGAATAAATATAGATTTTCAGTATTCTGTCACAGAAACGTTCACAAATTATTTCCATATCCATTTTATTTTTGAGATAATTTAGTTTGAAAGTAGTGTGTAGATATTCTTTATCAAAAGATAATCTTACAATACCAGTTTGGTCCTCACATAAATGATGCATAAAACATCTAATAGTGACATTCAGGCTGTTCTTTCAGCCTTATTCTTGCATTTCTTTAATTCCTCTTTTACTGGTACAAGTCTATTTGTGATTCAAATAAATGTACCAAATAAAAGCTTTTTGTATAGAGCAGAGCAACTCTTGTGCCTCAGGCTTTATCCGGCTGCACTTAGTTCCCCCAGAAGTCTGAATGAACTGAGGGTACTATCTAGGAATGAGTGAATATGTGTGTCTGTGTTCAACAGCGCATAGTCTTCCCTACGGCAGCAGTGGCTCTGTGTCTCACTACTGCCACAGATTGACTAATTAGATTAAGCAAGAAGCTTTCCTGAGATAATCATTCAGCAAGCCATTTCCTCTAGTGGAGACTGTGCTCCTCAAGACCGTCCACTGAAGGTCAAATAATTATAGTAAAGGAGAATTTTTGGCATTTCGCTTTGTAATACAGACTTTGCATTGTTTGGAGTAATTGTATGTGACGGTGAGTCGCTCAGTCTCTGAAAGCAGCACCTTGACTGTGCTGGTCGAGGGGCTGCATTTGTCTCGTTGTTGCCGGAATGGACATGTAAAACAAATCTGTGAGTACTTTTCCGTCTGTTTTATGATAAGGATAATAAGTGATAAGTACTTTGACTATCATGTTTTGTTTTAGTTTAGTGCTTAGTGCTTCTGTAAAATCATTGTTTTAGTCATTTGTTTGGCAAGACCAGTTTTCTTCTGTAACTGGGAAATAAAAGACTTATTTGATGCAGATAAAAAGGGAAAGGTAAAACTCCAATCGTTTTGTGAGCAAACATTTAATGATCAAATAAAAAAGCGGTGCTTTAAAGTCTTAAAAATGCTAATTTATTCAAGATGACCCAAACATGTTTTGTTGTCCGTGACCTTTGAGAGGGCTTTAGATGTCACTTCAAAGAGCCTTTGAATCTCAACATAATTTACAATTATAAAAAAATCCTAGATTTCATTTCTGATTTTGGTGAAAATTGTTTATTTGGTTTTTATTGTATTTTATTATAATTACCTAAAACTAAAGATAAAATATTGAACTAAATGACCATTAGAAAAACTGTCTTTATAGCTATCTGAAATAAATGTAATATGAAGCACTGAAATTACTAGAAATAAACTAAAACTGAAATATTGTTAAAATAAATGTATTTTAACTAATTGTAGAGATCCGAAGTGGTTATCTGATTCTCCGGTTGGGTTATGGAGCAGAGGAGACAGGTACCTGGGAGCCCAGAATGAAATATCCTAATATGGCAGTGGTATGTCTTATGACCATTGAGTAATGTCTATGCCCAAAAATATAGCAAGCGCAGCAAAACACAGCAGACACAGCAGGCACAGGATGTTCTGCTTTTCAATCTCACAAATATTAATAATAAACAATATTAATATAACACTGGTTCAATCATTTGTTCATTCAATTACACTTTCTTTCGAATACCCTCTAAAACGTTATTTCCCACTCTATTTTTTTTTTCGAACACAACTTTTGAATCATGTCTATTGTCTTTGGCAGGTCTCTCTTCTAGACAAGACGCTGGTTTTATGTAACAGAACTAATTTTAGCATTCCATTCTTTAAGCAGACGTAACGGATCTTTCCACTCAAGGGCCATTACAAAAGCCAACTGTCACTTTGCATACCTAGTATCAACATCATCTTTAACCAGTGACATAAGGTTTGATGTGACTTCCTTTGTTGATTGACAGTGGTATCACTTGATCTGGCAGATGTGACTGTCCATGAAGAATCACATTTTATTTGGCTTCAAGTGATAAATGGTTATATAAGCTGACACGGGAATGATAGAGCATGTAATGAACTTGCTTTCGTTTTTTTTGTTTTAGATGCAACTTGGTGCAAACCTGATGATTTGACCTCCTGTGACTCTGATCAACCTAAGATGAGAGAAAGTACACCAGAAAATCAAATGGAAATGGCATTTGAATTACATCTGGTGTGTCATCAGAAGAGTCGGTTTTTGCGTCCCTGAGGAATTAAGTCTGGATATTGTCACTGCTTACCTCAGGGGAAGCCACTTCTCCATTTTTTGGTGCACTTCAGCGGGACTATGGCCAAAAACTCATTCCGTAGGTCGAAATACAAGACAGAGGCCAATCATGATGGAGATTTTGGCTGCACACTCAAAGAACTTCGATCACTCATGGAACTCAGAGGGACAGATGGATTACAAAGGATTCAGGATTGCTATGGAGATGTTCAGGGACTCTGTTCCAGGTTAAAATCATCACCAATAGATGGTAAATATTTCCTTTGCTACCAATGTTAATGTTTATGCATTAAATGACACTGATAAAATGCACTGTTCTTTTATCACCAAAATTAATAAATAAATAAAAATGGCTAAAAATGTATATTTAGTTAAATTGGAAAATGTATAGAATTTGCCATTTTGGCCAATAGGTTGATAATTATTTTCAGATTGTAGCCGATAACTAATAAATAGTCAATATTGAATTTAAATCAATTAAAAATAAAACACTAAAACCATCAGTCATTTTAAATGTTAAAAGTGAATTTAGGCACCACAACATTATAATATACAGTATAAACATGGATATTAGTTTTAAGATTTGCTTAAGACTGCATTTAACAGTGTATACAATTGTGTGCTTTTAAACATTAACTATAGGTGAGCTTTAACTGACCATAAACTGACCATTTATATCTAAATATAAAAACTGAGGAAATAAGCATGCACAATTAAATATCCAATATCAAGTAATACCAATGCATTTTAAAAATCTCTAATTAGTTGCCAAGATGGTACCTATATATCATGCATTCCTAGAAAAAAATAAAAACATAACTTTCAGCTTTGCTGAGCATCAGTTCTTATTTTACCAAATGGTTTAGTGATGCTGAGGCTGGTTTAGCCTGGTGGTTATAGATCTGAGCTGAGCAAAGGTTGTATGTTCAAACTTCATGGGGGATGATCCATGACCTCTCACCATTTCAGCCTTGAGCAAGGCACTTAACCTCAGGCTCTTCCTGGAAGACTGTCTCCGTAACAAGTGCAGCGTAATCGCTTTGGATAACTGTGTGAGCTAAATAACTAATTAGCAATTAGAAGTTTCAGACATCTTTTCCATGTGCTTTTTCCTTTCCCCATTAGCACTGTAACTTTCATCAAGGACCATGCATATTTTAGCTTTAAAAGACTCTCTCAGAATTTCCCTTTGACAGTGGAGCAATAATGACATATAATGAGGTACATAGTTTGTCTGCATGATCCAGTTGAAAGGCTGTGTCTTTAAGAAGAAGTTGTACCACTTTATACAGTCGCTAATCTGTTAGCATATCTATTTTTGACCATATTATGAAGGATTTCCATCAAGCAAATGTAGTTTACCTGGATATATTCCATTTTTCAAGTCTAAATCTTGTCTACAGCATATCATTTTGCATTATCATTATGTCACTTTAAAATAAGTTCCATGTATTTACATTAGTTAACATGAACTAACAATGAAAAATACTTCTACAGCATTTATTAATCTTAGTCAATGATTATTTCAACTAATACATTATTAAAATCAAAGCATTAATGCATTAACTAACGTTAACTAATGGTACATTTTATTATGAAGTGTTACCATTATTTTAAACTATTGACAGCCCTAATAATTTCAGTTATTATTTCTGTTTTATATCTTTTTCTGAATCATTCCAAGTGACCCTGGTTAGGAATGAAAGCTACAATGAATAATATGACCAATATTTTAAAAGGTATATTACAGTACATCATTTATAACTACATTACAGTTATAATGTGTCAATCAGCTGACAAAAGATGTTTAACTGCGAACATTATTGCCTTTCTTGTTACTTTCTTTCTTACTTATTGCCTTTCTAGTTACTCAGGTTATCAAAGTGACCATCATGTCATCTTGGATTTTACAGTTCCTCTTTTTGCTTATTTCACCTTTTTATTCATCTCCTTCAGTGCTTCTAGTTTAGACTAATCTGTCTTTATATTATTTCAACGAGATCAACTCCAATCATTTGTCTAACACCATGATCAGCTTATGTTTCCCTTGATAATTCCAGCGAAATATGTTTACACTCTCCTCGTGTGATTCTTTCATTTAAGATTTTTATGTGTATTATAAATACACAATCTGTCTGTTATGAAAGAGTCCTATCTCTTGTTAAAATCAGACCTTGATTATTGCTTTTTATGTCCTATTTACCTTGTCATCCATCGATATTTTCGATATGCAGTGGCTTACCACTCCGCACTGACAAATTTAGCTGTGTCATGAGCCATAACAGACTGTTGTAGTTGTGACAGGTGGGACCAGATCAATTTACCTCATGTAATCCCACTCACCTTAAACCGAGGCAGGTTCTTCATTGCTCCGCTTCACGCTAATCTCACAGGCCGATGCTCTGCTGCATGGGGTTTACATTCATTTTTGCCCTTGCCAACAGTGGCTAAACCTTTGAGGGGGCAGAGGACTAGCGTTTTGTAATTGAGCAAGGGAAGGAAGAGAGGGATTACACTGTGTTAGCGTTCAGGCTGTGCTCTTGCTTGCGTGGGGAGTGGAAATATTGATATTTTGTGGAATCCATTATATTTCAAATGAAAAGCAAAGTAAAAACCCTCTCTAAATCCAATTCAATTTCTCAAGTGTTTTAAAATTCAACTTGATCCATCTGTCATTTTTTAATATGTTATTTAAATCATCAGTATGTTTTCCCTGTACTATTTCAAAATGTGTTTTTAAATGTGCAGTTGCAAACTCTGTACTTATAGATACGCCATAAGGATATTTAGGTCATCTAAACGTCATATGTAATTGAAACATGGTCATTAATAATTATCTTGAGTGACCCACCAGAAATATTTGTACAATCCGGAGGTGTTAAATTATGCTGTTAGATATCTTGACTGTAAGGGTATATCTTATTTTTATATGGTGTAATAAAAATGGTATAATATTTTTACAACCAGAACAGTAAGCTTATTTGATATGGTAAAAAGGCACACACAAAAAAAATTACATATTTGTTGTGGTTATTTGCTTTTTGCTCCGTTTTATGACAGTAATCTTAATAATTTGTATAATCTATACCTTAATAGTTTTTTTAATAAAACAGATTATTGGAGTAATGTTCAATGTGTTACTTGCTGTTTGTTTCTGTACCAAATATCTTAATGTTTATTCTGCTCTTTCTCTCTGTTTAGGGTTAAGTGGTCATTCTGATGACATTTCAAGAAGAAAAGAAGAATTTGGAAAGAATTTTATACCTCCTAAAAAGCCAAAAACATTCCTTCAGCTAGTGTGGGAAGCATTGCAGGATGTGACTCTAATTATTTTGGAAGTTGCAGCCATAATATCTTTAGGCCTTTCCTTCTATAAACCTCCTAATGCAGAGAGAGAATGTGAGTATCATAGGGATTTTAAGCTCACTATGAATAATATACCTCTGATTCTCTTGCTCAGTGGTGCTGTTGAATAACAATGAATTTGAAATTGTAACATATCCTGAAGGTGACGTAGTGCTATTATGTATTCAGCTCACTCAGGGCCTCTGTTTTAGGGGGGAAAAATACTTTTACCTGAGCCCTGCTGTGCATTTAGCCGTAAAATCCTGCAAATCATGTTATTTTGTGTTTGCAATTTCACAGTCCTTCACTTCCTTCACACCCTGCTTACCCTGCTTGGAAATGCAACTATGCACCTCAAATATCCCATTAACATTTTAGACATATATAGTTCAAGTGTTTGGGGTTGGAAAGATTTTTTAAATGTTTTTGAAGGAAGCTTAAAAAATATATGCTCACCAAGGCTGCATTTATATTAAAAATACAGTAAAAGCAATACTATTGTAAAATATTAACTTAAAATAACTGTTTTGTGTGTTAAGATATTTAAAAATGTAATTTATTCATGTGATGTTAAAGCTGAATTTTCAGCAGCCATTACTCCAGTCTTCAGTGTCACATTTTAATATGCTGATCTGCTGCTAAAGAAACATTTCTTTTATTATCAATGTTGAAAACAGTTGTGCTGCTTAATATTTTTGTGAAAACTGTGATAAGTTTTTTCAGAATTATTTGATGAATAGAAAGTTTATAAGAACAGCAATTATTTGAAATAGAAATCTTTTGTAACATTATAAATGTCTTGACACTTTTGATCAATTTATTGTGGTCTTCCAGGCTGATTTATACTTCTGCGTGGGACCTACGCCGTAGCCTTTACGCCATAGGCTATGCGTCAGTTTTCATTTATACTTCTGCGTTGTATGCACCAAAATATGAACCAGACTGCTTCATGGGTGCATGTGCACTTAAGATACATGGTTTGTGTTGGCCACAATTTGTTGTTTGTTGCCAGTCATTTTGAAACCAAATTTGCCATTTCCCCTATTCAACCTGTTATATTAATAATTTTGTACATTGATGAGCTTATGTAGTTCATTATTATATTAACACATTTCAGTATTTGATATTAAGTTAATTTTTTGTTACTTTTGTATGACAAAACTAGTTGAGAACCACTGCAGGAACATTACATGAAATAGCAGTCAGTGACATAGTTCAGTCAGTAGTTGATCTTTCAACTAATCATTGTGTGTCTTTCTTTCTTCATGTATTGAGAGAACAAGTTGTGAGAATGTCCTGTGAACATATGGTTGAATCTAGTAGCTAACTGTGCTCTTTTCATGCTGATTAGCAGTAAGAAGATTAGGGCCTACAGCTCTGCTTTTTCCTCTTGTCCACATACAAACACATACAGGCAGACACATGCTGTAAATCTCCCGTGCATTTCCTCTTCTTTTTCTCTGCACATGGTTTTAAACAGTTTTTAAGTCTTCTGAAACAACACTTCACACATAAATAAGAAGTCAGAGTTGGAGTTGTCGCCATTTAGCACAAATATTTTGACATACACAAGCATTCAAAAGTTTGTGGTGACATTGTTTGAAAGTATTTACATTAACAAAATGTAAAATGTTGCAAAAATTTTTTAAAAAAAAGTATCACTGTGTTTTTTTATTTAATATAATATACTGTTAAGCAATATAAAGCAAAATATTAAGTTTTCAGCATTGACAATAATGATTTCTGGGTCATGTGACATTGAAGACTGGAGTAATTGCTGCTAAAAATTCAACTTTCCATCACAGACATAAATAATTTAAAAATATATAAAAATAAAAAACAGTTATTTAAATTGTAATAATATTTCACAATATTACTCTTATTTTGATCAAATAAATGCAGTCTTGGTGAGCATAAGAGACTTTCGAAAACATTAGTCTTATTGACCCCCAAACCTTTAAACAGTAGTGTATTGCATTCTGGTGTTCATTTGGGCAATATGACTTTAAATTCTGCTTGCAACATTTCTGACAGCCTAATAAACACTTTAAAAAGTGAACATGCAGTAGTTACAATAACAAGGTATTTTATAATGTAATGCTGTTGGGTTGATTCAGTAATATTAAATAATATTTTGACGTAATTAAAACACATTTAAAAGCACATTTTATGTTACATGACAAACCATTTTTTGGTAAACATTTTTTTTAACAGTTTGATATATGCAATATCATAACCATTGTACAGGACAACATTTATAAAACAGATTATAAGTACATTTAAATTAGATTTATTTTAACATCACTGGTTTCTGCCTTATTCAGAGAAGGATGTAGGCACAGTGGAGATGGAGCCCCTCAACAGTGATGATGGAACAGAAGAAGAGCCGAAAAAAAACAAGATTCCAAAGAAAGAGAAATCGGTACTTCAAGGGAAGCTTACCAAACTAGCGGTACAAATTGGGAAAGCAGGTAAAAAAAAATTATAATAATAAAATTAAATAAATAAACATTTTACAGTGTGCAGAACTTTTTCTTTTTGGTCCACTTCATTTGTTTTTCCTTGTATTAAAACTCCAAGAAAGACTTTTAAATTGCTATGTGATGTTCATGTGTGTGTGTTTTTTCCAGGGCTCTTCATGTCAGCCATCACAGTCCTCATTCTTGTGGTGCTCTTTTTGGTGGACACTTTCTGGATTCAGGGGCTTCCCTGGATTAAAGACTGCACTCCTATCTACATCCAGTTCTTTGTCAAGTTCTTCATCATCGGCGTCACTGTGCTGGTTGTTGCCGTGCCTGAGGGTTTACCGCTTGCTGTCACTATTTCATTGGCATATTCTGTGAAAGTATGTGGTCTGTCTTTTTTTTGCAGAAGTTTCATGAGAAACTTGTAGATACAAAAGTTGTAAAATCATCTATGTAGTAAAATCATCTGTCATTCCCTGTAGAAAATGATGAAGGACAACAACCTGGTGAGGCATCTGGACGCTTGCGAGACGATGGGAAATGCCACTGCAATTTGCTCTGATAAAACAGGCACCCTAACCATGAACAGAATGACCGTGGTTCAGGTGTATATTGGAGACAGACACTACAAGAAGGTCCCGGAGCCTGATCTGATTCCTGGCAACATCATGAATCTTCTCGTCACAGGCATCAGTGTCAACTGTGCATATACTTCAAAAATAATGGTAACAAACTATATTTTGCCTGAATGTGTACTTTTAAATATACAGAGGATCCAAAAAAACTGTGACCACAAAAAATAAAAAAATTTCGGTTACATAGAACTCAGCATAAAAAATGTAAGTGAAAAGTTAATATATTTTTAAATATAATAGATCAAATATATATTTAATTTCTTCAATTTATATCAGAATTTGTCATTATTTCAAATTCATGTTTGTTTGAAGATTACTTATTTGAATATTTCTTTAAATAAGTTATTATCATTTAATTAAAGATAAATCAATGTGGTTTCAGACTTTTGGACCTTTAGTCATCATTTAATGTGATTTATTTTTTTTATTTTATTTTTTAGACTAGACTTGGTTTCATGATTTTGATGAACCCTTTTTTCTGTCTAGCCTGCTGAGAAAGAGGGCGGTCTGCCCCGTCAAGTTGGGAACAAAACTGAATGTGCCTTGCTAGGGTTTACCACTGGATTACGAAAAGATTACCAAGCCATTCGCAATGAATATCCTGAGGAAAAAATTTACAAAGTATACACCTTCAACTCAGTCAGGAAATCCATGAGCACAGTCCTAAAAAATCGAGATGGAAGTTACCGTATGTTCAGCAAAGGAGCATCAGAAATCCTCCTGAAGAAGTAAGTACGCATTTAATATTTCAGGTAATTTGCTATTTGCTAGATAATAATACAGGTGGTATTATTATGATGAAGGATGTTCTCGTTCAATAGAGCACTTCATTGGTCAAAAAATCTTTATAGTTCAGGTTGTCAACAATATTTTAGTCCAGTTTTCCTGGGTAAATAGACCATTTAAAAGTTTGAAAACACTAAAGATGCTGTTACATTAGCAAAATTTCACTGACAAAGAAGGTCTTTTGTCCACTCTCAGTAATATAGTGATGCACAAAGCACCAGTCACACAGAAGTCACTTTCAAACCAAGCACCTTTCTGTTGGTCAACGCGCCATATTCACAGGAAAACTTGAACTTGAATGTGAAATCTGCATGGTTCAAAGTTTAAATATGAATGTGAGACTACATTCTTGTATCATTAACTTTCCAAAAAGTTATAATACTTTCATAATATTTCATATTTCCCCAGGTGCTGTCAAGTCCTGACAGCTAATGGTGAAGCCAAAGTCTTCAGGCCCATTGATCGGGATGACATAGTGAAAAAGGTGATTGAGCCTATGGCCTCTGAGGGTTTGAGGACCATCTGCCTCGCTTACAGGGACTTCCTTGTTTCGGACGGTGAGCCTGATTGGGATAATGAGGCAGATATCCTGACTGGACTTACCTGCATTTGTGTGGTGGGCATTGAGGATCCTGTTCGGCCAGAGGTAACTGCTCACTTGACCATTAATAACCCTCCTATTCTATCCACTTTACATGGAAAATATGCATTTGACAGTGAAAACAAAGCAAAGACATGCTGAAGTGCTCATTACTATTAGTCAGCATGTGTTTGTTGACATCTAACCCCGGGTGGTATAATCGCCACAGGTCCCTGATGCTATTAAGAAGTGCCAGCAAGCAGGCATCACTGTGCGCATGGTCACAGGGGATAACATTAACACTGCTCGAGCTATTGCAACCAAGTGCGGCATTCTCCATATAGGCGATGACTTCCTTTGCCTTGAAGGCAAAGAGTTCAACAGACGAATACACAATGAACTTGGAGAGGTGAGGTGGTCAAAATAAAAAAATGGATATGTTTTTATTCAAATGAAAGGTTGATATTAAAGGCCTCATCATATTTTCAGATTGAGCAAGAGCGGCTGGACAAGATCTGGCCCAAACTGCGTGTACTTGCGAGATCTTCTCCAACTGATAAGCATACATTGGTCAAAGGTAATGAGTTTTAAAAAGCACTGTTGTTAAAATTGTGGTGACTATTACAGTCTGACTGCAAATAAAATGTTTTGCTGTCTCTTTAAGGTATAATTGATAGCACCATCGTAGAACAGAGACAAGTAGTTGCTGTCACTGGAGACGGAACCAACGATGGTCCTGCGCTAAAAAAAGCTGATGTTGGATTTGCAATGGTAGGACTTTTCAGAATTGAAAAACTTGCTTGTACATCACTATAATAGACCTACCAATTGCAAATGAATATTAAAGTTACAAAAAAAATTTTTTTTTTTAAATGTTTCAATCCAAGTTGCACATTTAATCTGAATAGACTTTGGTCAGGGTAGTGGCATATTTAATTTTTGACAGGAATGAAAATGAGGCTGTGAGGGTTAGAAGTACAGTGTTTTCAGGGGATTTGTAATGTACTGTAGTTTAACCAATTGTTCAGCTGACACATCATCTTTACAAAGAAACTTTTACTAGAACAGCTTTAAAAGTTGTGAGTTTTGAAATTTACACAGTCTAGTACTTCTGGTATCCCTCACAGCCTCATTTTCATCTGCATAACCGCATGCCATTAACTGCATGACATTAAAACACATTTGTGACCCTGGACCACAAAACCAGTCTTAAGTCGCTGGGGTATATTTTTAGCAATAGCCAAAAAACATTGTATGGGTCAAAATTATCGATTTTTCTATTATGCCAAAAATCATTAGGATATTAAGTAAAGATCATGTTCCATGAAGATATTTTGTATACCGTAAATATAAAAACTTAATTTTTGATTAGTAATATGCATAGCTAAGAACTTCATTTGGACAACTTTAAAGGCGTTTTTTTGCACCCTCAGATTCCAGATTTTCAAATAGTTGTATCTCAGCCAAATATTGTCCTATCATAACAAACCATACATCAATGGAAAACTTATTTATTCAGTTTTCAGGTGATGTATACATCTCATTTTCAAAAAATGTACCCTTATGACTGGTTTTGTGGTCCAGGGTCACATTTAAGTCATAATGTTAAGAAATGTGCATTGTGCAATAAAGAAATACTCCAAAAAAGTTTAATTATAACTTTATATCAGTGATATGTCAATAAATATGTTAATGGATTTGAAGTATACTTACTAAAACTGAAATTAGTGTAGGATTTACTTTGAAGCAAATATCACTAATGGATTGCTTGTCAATTACACAATTAATTACAAAGAAATGGCAAGTAACACATTGAAATTTTGCTGACCACCGGTAAATATTACTGTGCCTTTAATGTTTCCATCACGCATTTTAATGCAACATTCCAAAATTAGCATGAATGTACTTGGAAAGTTAATTAAATTTGACAGTGACGTGTCATGATCTGTTTTTAGGGCATTGCTGGTACAGATGTGGCCAAAGAGGCATCAGACATTATCCTGACTGACGATAACTTCAGCAGCATAGTGAAGGCAGTGATGTGGGGGAGGAACGTCTATGACAGTATCTCAAAGTTCCTCCAGTTTCAGCTGACGGTCAATGTGGTGGCTGTCATTGTGGCGTTTACTGGAGCCTGTATCACACAGGTCAGACTTCTGCGTCCTCTTTTTCCTGTCCTCAATGCCACCTCATTCTTTCTATTAAACGGTTTGCTTTGTCCAACTCTTCGCATAGGACTCCCCTCTCAAAGCTGTACAGATGCTGTGGGTGAATTTAATTATGGACACATTTGCATCACTAGCACTGGCGACAGAGCCTCCCACTGAGGCTTTACTGTTGCGCAAACCATATGGTCGTAACAAGCCCCTTATTTCTCGCACCATGATGAAGAACATCCTCGGACATGCTGTATATCAGCTAACCATCATCTTCACGCTGCTGTTTGCCGGTAAGCACCACCCAAAATATCTAGAGTAGGGTTTACCAAATGGTGGTTTGCGAACCCCTGGGGGTTTGTGAGGGATTTGAAAGTTGATGAAGTTCCTTTATTTACACATTCGCATAATTTCCAACATTTTTGTGGGCAGAGGTTTACAACATTTTAGCAGAATTCTGCCAAAATAAAAACTCATTTAAATATTTAAAGTTTGAAGGTTTGAATGTTTGAAAGTGATTAATTTAATATATAAATATTAGTATTGTAACTATTGTATTGTAAAATAAAATTATTAAAAGGATCAAATATTAATTTTTATTTAACTGTACAATTGCATTTTACAACAGTAATGTTTCTGTCTTCCTTCTTGTAATAAGAGTTACACAAACATATAATAATTATTATTATTGTTATTATTAATATTATTATTAGATTGAGTTTCTAAAATGCCAGTGTGAATGTAATTGGACTGAGACATTATCACAACTAAAAGAAGCTTGAGTCTACTTTAAAGGGATAGTTCACCCAAAAATAAAAATTCTGTAGTATGGAAAAAAATAAACAAAAATACTATGGAAGTCAATGGGGACCAGCAACTGTTTGGTTACCAAGATTCTGCAAAATATCTTCTTTGGTGTTCAGCAGAATAAAGAAATTCATACAGGTTTGGAACAACTTGAGTGTGAGTAAATGATGACAGAAGTTTCATTTTTGGGTGAACTATCCCTTAAAGTACAGCTGCAAAATAAAACACTTTCCTAAAAAAGATTAAATATGACATCAATATCTTCCCAAATGCATGCTAAGCTCACAGCACATGCAGAAATGATGTTCACTGCATTCACTGTGAACTGAGCCATTCTGAGACGTGGAAAACACCTGATCACAAGCTGATTACGTGAGTAAAGTGTGCACATCGGTTTGAAACACGCAGCACTAACAGGCTTGATAAGGGGATTAAGGTATCTTGAGCTTTCGGCCGCCACAGTCTAGTTAGTGAATAGGAAACACTGACTTTTCAAGTAAATCAAGTACATATTTAAGTAAATATTTTACATCCATTTACAGTTTGGCTGATAAAAAATGTTTGGGAAACCCTGATTTAGAGCATCCAGACAGAGTACACCAGCTATTATATCTCTGATTTATTTCTTTTTTTTTCACAGGTGAGCAGATCTTTGATATCGACAGCGGCAGGAACACTCCTCTTCACGCTCCTCCTTCAGAGCACTACACCATTGTCTTTAACACATTTGTGATGATGCAGCTTTTTAATGAGATTAACGCTCGTAAGATCCATGGCGAGAGAAACGTTTTCGAGGGCATCTTCAATAACATGATCTTCTGCTCCATCGTATTCGCGACCTTTGTTATCCAGGTACGTCCCATTGTAATCTCTAGCCTGTCAATTATCAACAATTGTTCTGAATCCCAACATGGTTTTGTTTTTTAGTTCCTAATCGTGCAATTTGGAGGGAAGCCTTTTAGCTGTGTAGGTCTCTCTGTTGAGCAGTGGCTGTGGTGTGTCTTCCTTGGCTTTGGCTCTCTTCTCTGGGGGCAGGTATAGGCCTTGAAAAGCATTTGAACTCTTTTTGAAATGATGCACTGGGTGATGTATTGTTTTTCTCACCTCCGGCCCACAGTTGATTTCCACAATTCCCACAAGTCGCCTGAAGTTCCTGATGACAGCGGGTCATGGCACTCAGAAGGAGGAGATCCCTGAGGATGAGCTGGAGGAGATGGAAGACCTGGATGAAATCGACCACGCTGAAATGGAGCTGAAAAGGGGGCAGGTTCTGTGGTGCAGGGGTCTCAACAGAATTCAAACACAGGTACTCAATGAGGTTTCTTTCATTTCATACCTTACATCCCAAGTTTGATTTGATTTTTATAAAAAAATTTATATATGAAGGTGACATTAAACGTGTCTTGGACTTTTTGTCATGTCTTTTGCTATTTTTTAAATGTTTTGAATGTATTGATTTTGTCCCAGGCCCAGTTTGTCCATATAAGTCCATCATAATAATAGTGAAAGTGCATGTTAAACTATAATTTAAACAAAAATCAGATTTTATTACATCATAATATTATAAATGCAGCCTCGGTAAGCATTAGTATTCAAAAAATACTTTTATTGCCAAAATTCTAAATGGTTGAATGTTACTGACCTCTTATTTCCATTTGGTTTTGATGCTTTTTCTTCAGATCCGTGTGGTTAATGCTTTCCGGGATGTCATGTCCCCATACGAAGGCCTGGAGACGCCAGAGTCTCGCAGCTCCATTCACAATTTCATGAGCCACCCAGAGTTCCGTATTGAAGATTCAGAGCCAGCCATCCCTCTCATCGATGACACAGACCCTGAGGAGGATGCACCTACTATACGAAACACAGCTCCTTCCCCACTGCCTCCAGTTTTATCCCCTAATCAGAACAACAATGCAAGCGACAACAGAGGCTTCCATCAGCACAAAGATATAGCCAAAACTATCCTTTCTCCGACTCCTGGAAGCCCAATGCACAGTCTGGAAACCTGTCTATAATCTGCTACCACCCTATGTCAGACCAAGTCAACAACCGAGGACACATTAAGGACATGGTCAAGGCTTCTGAGCCTTTGATAGTGAACTGGAAAAGCAGCAAAACTTGTTTTACTTGTTTTTTTTATTTATTTCATGGGGGTTTGTTTCATTCTTTTCGTATTTGGCCTACACACCCTGAAAGTGAATGGTTTGGGGAATTAACGGTGTTGCTCAAATGTTCAAATTCTTTCCACTTATATCTTGCTCATTCAAATATTTTGATATAAGGTGTTTTGGCTGTTCATATACTGTAGGTAAAAATGTTTTAGCAGTTTTTGGACAAGCTCTTATTTTGTATGCAAAAGGTTCACATGTAGTTGCTGCTCTGTTTAATTGTGAGCAAACACTTTTTGAAGGTGCACTATTTGCCTCTAAATCAGTTTTTATTTGGATTTTTAGAAAGCTAGGAAAAGATGCAATGCCTCTACATCTAAGGGGTACGGCTCAGTGTTGCCAAGTCAATTGGGCTACTCTAACGCTGTTTCCGTGGGTAGTTTTTCATAGACTTAGTGTAGCAAAACATGTTGTTTTTATCATGGCTTAACTATAGTAACCAATAACCATGTTTTTTGGTATTTTATATACATATTTTCATGTTATCTTTAAGGCATGTATTTGTAAAAATGATTAGGCAGCCGCAGCACACACCACATAGAATGATGGTGCGCATTTCAAGGCACTTAATGTTACCTGTTTTGTGAATGTAAATTTTTTTTTTTAGTATATCAATAAGAGAGTACGACAGGATTTTACTCAAGTCTTTATCACTTTATTTAAATTAAGCAAAACAAAACGACAAATGTTTACTTTCACAAGCCGTCTCGTATAGGCTTGTCTCCTGCTCAATTAGGTAACAAAAAATGTCGGGAAACGACACCTCTGGCCATTCCGTTGTGTCGTTTGTCCATTCACAGATACCGTACGGACAGTCCGACCCAATACGGCTCAGTTTTTATGCGTATGTTGCTCTGTCAAGCGGCAGAAATAATTTTATGTAGGCCATTCTGAGTCAACGCCATGCTTTTCCAATGAGGGGGAAAGGACTGTTTTCCCCCACGCCGACTCCACCCACACAGCTATGACGGGACACCGATGATATTTAGCCCCTAAAATACGAATTTTACCAGGGGAACACCCCTATGGAATTTTACCAGGGGAACATATGACCCCCCTCGAAACGCGACTGGGCTAGTTTTGAGTAGCAATTGGGTGGGTTTTGTTGTGAAAACCTGGCAACCCTGGTACGGTTGGATGGTAAAAGACATTAATTATGGACCTCTTATTTCATGAAATGTAGCTTGACTGCACTTGCAAAAATGGCATATACAAGGTGTATTAAGGGAATGAAATGTTAACTGGTTTACAGTGGTACATTGTGCTCATTTTTTATTATTAATTTTTTTTTAATCAACCAATGATGATGGCAATGCTAAAATGTAACAGTGTATTTTCTGTTTAGAGTGTTTTATCAGTTTTGATCCACCCCACCTCCTTAAACCACAAACGAAGTCCCACGAAACACTACGCAAGTCCCACGAGTTTGTCGAGATGCTGTTTTATTAATTATTGTGATGGTAATATGAAGTACTTTTATTTTTTACTGCAGATATTATTCCTTGTGGGGATATGTTAATGGTTTCAACAGAATGTTATAGGATTTGTTACAGAAATAGATGCACCATAAACAATACAAGATTAGTAAAAGAAAATAGGAAAGAACTGGAGAGAATTTGTGGGTACATTTTTTTTCACTGTAGTTTCATTCCCATTTTGGGAATGAATATTTTTCCATCAGTGTTTAATTTATTTATTTGTATTATGATTATTATTATTATTTTTATTTTTTTATTTTTAAGATGTATTTTTTTTTGGCATTTTTGCCTTTATTATGATAGGACAGTGAGTAGACAGGAGCAAAGTGGGACAGGGTAGATGTTTATGGAATATAATTTTGTAAATATAAATGGTTATTGTGGTTTAATTTACATTGGGAAGTCTTTAAATAATGTGTATGGTTTTTGACAATAAAATATCCATATTTAGCTTAACCTAATCATTGGTTTTAATTTGAATCTTATCATATATATAATATGATAATAATATTATTACATTATTACCTTAGCATACTTAACAAATCATGTGTATTAAAATAATCAGAAATGTCCTTTCTTCATATATTTTCATATTAATATTTAAATATACATGAACCACTGATTTCGTAAGCATTATATGTTAGTGGCTTGTTCAGTAATATTTGAAATGTTACTCATTAATAAAAAAAATAATAGCATAAACATAGTCATACACATTATCAATTCAATTGTTATTCATTTTAACATGGTATATTAATGGTCGTTTTATTTTTTTTAATGCTCTTTTTATTTATTTTTTTCTGCGCAACGTCAACACGACGATTGCTGCGTTCCGGAAACTTGCTCCACCAATCCTGTCGCAGCATTCGTGTCACGTGATCTTCGAAATCAGCCTGACCACGAAATTTGAAATGTGGAAACAGAGCGCTAGTGCGTGTTATTTATTGTGAACATTCAACACTGCGATTAATAAATAGCACCCGAGAGCTTTTTCTAACAAACAGTAAGTATTTTTGGTCGTATTAAATGTTTATAATCTGTTTTAAGATCAAATAAGAATATGATCGTTGAGTAAACCGTATGAACGCATGAGCTCCATGACTTGTATTATGTATATGTTGGCTAATAGACTAAAAATGCTATTTTCGAGTGTCGTTAGTTTTATTCGAGTATTTTAAACTAAGTGTGGGTTAAATGTACTTGCTGATGTCTCAAACGTGTAGTAATCAAAAAGGGGAACCACATTAACTGTAAACTGATGTTAGCAGGACTTTGGCCTCCATTTGTTTTCCTGGCTGAAGATGGCATCTCTCACTCACAGTGGTAATCATCTTTTTATCTAATCACAATATCTCTAAACTACCCTTACAAAAATTACTGCAGTGGTACCATGGTACAGTGATACTAGCAGATGGTAATATCATGGTTAACCATGGTAAAAACACTAACCCGGTACATGTCCAAATCACCAACAACAGTAGTTTTAATTGTGTAGAAGTGTACTGTAACAACACACAGAAAATAAACTGATTTCTTTGTATTAGTGTTTTTTTTTTTTTACTTCTAGATTTTGTTTCACTGGCTGAAGAGAAATTTGACTTTGATGTTTCATTGTCACCTGAAAGGTTTGTATTAAATGTTCAATGTTCAAGGCAGTGTTGTTATTGTTGACTAAACCTATTCAAAATCATTTTTGTTGATTGAAAAAAAGCTGAAATGAAATCAAATATAAATATCGATGAAAAACTAAACTTAAAACCCGAAAATTAATCTTAAAAAACTGATCTGACTACAATCAGTGCTACAGTTACTAAAATAAAATGAAAGCTAAATAGAACTATAAAAAATAAATAAAACTAATTAAAATGACAAAAGCACATAACAAAATGACTAAGACTTGATCTAAAGTTAAAACGAGTACTTAAAATATAAAAATAAATCAATTTCATTTTTATATGATGAACAGATTTAATTTGGTTTGAATGGTTTGGTTTGGAATGACATGAGAGTGAGTAAATTATGAAAGAATTAAATTTTTTGGCTTATTATTCCTTTAATCTGCATTATACAATGTGAACTATAATGCTGATTTAATATTTTATGATGATAAACATCATGTGGAAATGTTCCCTCATAGCTCCAAAGGAGATTACGAGGTTGAGGATGAGGTTTTCATGGGTCCAATCAGTCATAAAGAGAAATGCATTTCTCATGGAGTGGAGATTCATGTGAAGGACAGTATAAGCAGCGGCCCGTCTCTGGGAGAAGAGCCCAGCTGGAGTCCGCTTACAGGAGAGAAGTTTGATGAAATCTGCAAAGAAGCTCAGCTACTCGCCAGCCACCTCGAGCAAACGGTCACAGATTCTGTAGCTGAGAGCAGCGTCGTTTCCTCAAGCAAAGCCGAGGAGACCGAGACGTTTGAGGAAGACACCACATTCAAACTGAACATGTTTAGCAAGCCAGCTGATGTTCTGAGTCCCATCAAAAGAGAAACCTTTCTTGTGCAGGACAGCCCGATGAAGCAGCTTCCACCTGCCATTCAGAAGCGTATGCTGAAAACTAACGGGACGGCTGGGTTTGGTAAACAACGTCTCAGTACATCAAGTCCAGTCAGGCCTGCTGTGACACAGCCTAAGATGGCAACTAGAGGCAAAGCCCTTATGGCTAGTAGTGGGGTGTTACCTGGCAAACCCACAGCACAAGGGAATTCACGACTTTCCTCCAGCACCAAACTGCCACCGGCTACTAAAATTAGGCTTCATCCTCCCAGCAAAGTATGAGCACTTCCCTCTATTTATTTAGATTGTTAGTGTTTAACATTAAGATTTACTTTGGGTGTATCAATGTTTTTCAGGGTAATTTTGGGCTAAAGCGCAGTCCCAGCAGTAGAAACACAAGTAGAGCTGGTTCTTCTGAAGACCTTCTCTCTGATAACACCAGTGTTGCTTCTGATGTCAGTGATTCTTCCTTTAACAGTAGTTTGCCAGGAAGAAGCAGCATTCCGGCCCGGAACAAGGTAAAAGGAGCTGCCACTGTTGTATCTTATTTTCTTTAAAAACCTTTGATTATACAGTTATATAACTGTTGATAATACAAAAAACTGTATTGTTGTGAAATAATATTGCAATTTAAAAAAAAATAAAGTTTTCTAATATATTTTAAATGTGATTTATTCCTGTGATGGCAAAGCTGAATTTTCAGCAACCTTTACTCCAGTCTTTAGTGTCTCACATGATCTTTCAGAAATCATTCTAATATGCTGATTTGCTGCTCAAGAAACATTTCTTATTATTAATGTTGAAAACAGTTCAAATTGTAGAAACTGTGATAGACTTTGATTAATAGTTCAAAAGAACAACATTTATTTGAAAAACAGACATATTTTTGTCCGTTTTGATCAATTTAATATATCCTTGTTGAATAAAATATATATATATATATATTTATTTTTTAAATGTACTGACCCCAAACTTTCAAACTGTTGTGTAGGTTGTTATTACAATGTACAGTAGACTTATTTTGTCATTTAGTGTACTACCAAAATAAGAGGATGTATGACATGGTTGATATTACAGATAAACCTTTTTTTTTATGTATTTAAACATTTTCTATATCATTTAGACAGAATTGCGAGCTCCAGCTGCTCTTAAAGCTCCTTCCCTTCAGAACTCAAGAGTTGTAGACAGAAGAAACACTTCATCCTCTTCCTCATCTGTGTCCAGCATCAATTCTAGTCTAACTATCTCTCCAGGAAGTAAAGGTGACCCTTCATACCTTTATCATCAAATTAATACCCATTTTTTATACTGTACCTTATAATGTTGTAATGCCTAAATCCACATTTAAATGTATTTTTGTGTATTTAATTAATTTTTTTAGGTTTCAGTTTTTATTGATATTGGCTAGACCAAAGACATGTATTTATAAAGTAAATGGTGTTGGTTTTGATTTCATTTTGACTTTAAAATGCAAGTTATGTACCTGAAAGATTGTTGGGTATCTACTGCCATCTGCTGGTTAAGTTAACATATTTCAACTCCTCCTCTCACCAGCCAAACTCAATTCCTCCCTGAACTCCAGCACTAACAGCATCGGTGCTCGTTCACACAGCAGCATGAGCAGGTTGCCAAGTTCTAGCCGCAAATCCTCTGTTGTTACCAGAAACCCAGAGCCCCCCGTCAGCAGACGGACCTCCATCTCTACACAGGGGAGGAGGGCATCTGAACTCCTTCCCAGACCTGTTAAAGCTACACCCATTAAAAAAACAGACCCATTACCACCTCCACAGCTTCAGACCCCAGCAAAAAATAGAGGTGAAAAGACCACCTCTACATCCAGCATCCCTGCATCTGCTGCTAAGATGGGTAGTGCTCTTAGAGGAAACCCCAAACTCAAGGTCCCAGTGGTGCCAACACCCACAAACTACCTGAAAGGAGTTCACAAATCAGAGGGTGAGAAATGTTAATTAATACGAATTGCTAGGATGAATCTCACTAAACCTGTTAAGAAAAAATTATACATATTTAGCATATGGGAAATGAAGCCTCTTAAGATTTTTTTGGTCC